TGCCTCATTTATTTTAGTTTTTTTTAAGGGCGGAAAATCATCGAATGACTGGTCCCGCCTGGGTGAGGCGGGAGGGAGTGTCAGACTCTTATTGACTACAAACCACCCTGTTCCTGCTCCTGCCCTTCGAGCCGGAGCCTCGGTATCCGCGGCTCCGTATCGGCATCAGCCCTATTGGGCTCCATCGTGGTGGTTGGTGGCTGTTTGAGCCGTACGCTCATTTATCTTACTATAGATGCCTGGGCCGGGGCCTAGCTGGGCTGACGCTGTAAACGGAAGCGCGGAAGGCTGGGTATCTGGCTCGAAGCAGAAGTAGGAACGGGGTTGTGTTTTTTCAGTAAGAGCTTGGCACTATCTCTCGGGTCACCCAAAGCGGGAGAAGTGATTGAACGATGTTCCCTCAAAACGAGGTATAAGTATCAAAAAGCGCGCCTCAAAGAGCCATCAGACCACCACGGATGAGGCTCAACAGGGCCGATGCCGATTAGGAGTCGCGGAGAACCTAACGGGTTACCGGGGCTCCGGCTGACGTGCAGGAGAAAGAACGGGGAGGTTTTTAGTCAGTAAGAGTCTGACATTCCCTCTCGCCTCACCCAGGCGGTAGCAGTCATTCGATGATTTTCCCCCCTTAAAAAAAAGTATCAAAGATACTCATCTCTTAGTGAAAACAGGTATTTTATATAAACGGTGAGTTCCATATAAAGTACATAATATTTGTGCTTGTACTGCAAGGCACAAGAAGGCACTACATTGGTTTAATACTTCGTGTATGGCAAATCTTAGTATGTATGAGAAAGTGTGAATTTATTTTAGGCACAGAGTTAAATAGCGAGCGAGTGTGATTTTAATCTTCTGAGATCCAGGTTGCCTCATAATGTTTTCCTTCACCGTTTGTCAGTTTTATTTATTTATTCTCAGCCATGATCGTCCCACTGCAGGGTAAAGGCCTCCCTACCCTCCTTCCACTCCTCTCTATGTAAACCTTTTTGCGGCCAATTCTTGTTTGTTTGTTATAAAGTACAGTTAACTCGGTACACAAAGTCACATTGGTACTTGCCGTTGATAGGTTTCGAACCCGCATTCTCAAATATGAGAAGCGGGCGTCTTACACGTTGAAAATCATCCCCTAAATTTGTTCATACAAAAGTAGTCTCTAAAGATTGGAAATAAGGTCTATAATGTAGTTAGTGTAGAGCGGTCACCGGTGACCGCTTGGGCGATATATGGATACCTCCGGGCCACACGCGCTGTGCGCTTTGATGGTCTTGAACCAACCAATCAGAGGCCTTAGGACGAGTTTCTGTTACGAAGACCACGTCCGGCGCTCTGATTGGCCAGCTACAATGAAACAAACAATCAGAGTGCCGAACGTGGTATCGATTACTTTAAGCGTAAACAATGTCGTACTAACATCAGGGAGGTTACTCTTGAATCCAATTCCGATCGATCGATATTGGTATTGTGAAATTTCGTACTCTTGAGTTGCAACACTAGCGCCCATTGCATCCGTATTGCGTGGATATTGAATGAACTAAATGGTATTGAGTTTGGCTTCATATTCCGTACTGTGAATGTTATTTTAACAGCTACAATTGCGGTTGTATATTTACAATTAATAATTATTGAGATTTTATAGTATTGAAATTGCATTAACATTGAGATTGGTTTCAAGAGTAAGCGTTGTTTTCCTTTAAGTTGTTAAATCTTGTGTGATGATGACAGAGTGGATTAGTCACCACCGCTCCTCTTCCCGCGGGTGTCGTGTACCCGACTAAGGGACTAAACATTAGACAGATACCGTGCAGCAGCGCTCTTTGATAAACCTGAACCTTTAATCTCCAACTCGGTCTCGTTGATGATAAATATAAATCGAAATTAAAAGATGTGTGTGTATCTCGCTCGCTAGTTAATTAATATTGTGACCTATGATATATACAAATATAGTTCAAAATTCTTCACAAACTGTGTAAAAACTACTCAATAGATATACAATAGTTGTTATGTATAACAAACTTGCAGTATTGCATAGTAAACATTATTAAATAAATATATTTATAGTTAAAATACGTATTCATTGTAAAACTCGAATCGGTGACATTATAGGTAATTTGGGTACTTTTCGGGGTATCAAAATTAAAAATCTAATTAGTCCGTCAGTTAGATAATGAAAAAATATTAGACACGTATTTTTTTATTTTCTCGTATTAAGTTGCAATACTTAGATAAAATGGCGCTAAGTTTAGGAGTGGGAGTTCGTTACGTCATAACGTGCTACAAAATGTGACACGCTGTGACGTCACACGATATTTCAAATCAATATATCGCCGAAAGTATTTAATTTTGTGAGAAAAGAAAAAATACGTGTCTAAAATTTTAAATTAATGTACCAGACGGACATTAAAACAAAATTTAGGAAAGTACCCTATTCAATGATACTTTGACTGATCTGAGTATCGAATGCAAAACTTTAAGTTTAGCAGTCGAATTTGTTACATTATCTATACACATCATATAATAAACATTGATATTTTTCAATATAAAAATTAACACCAATATCAAAAAATAATAATAAACATTACGAGATTCATAACAGTACGAAATATACTTAAGTAATTAATTTTAATTACAGTAAACATTACAATAAAAATTATATAATAATATGTAATTATAATTATAAAATTAGGACGGAAAGTCTATAACAAATAAGGGCTAATTTATTTTTAACTTAATTACCTACATATTTTATTTGTTAATTAAGGTTATCCTCCACGTTGCGTCATTTGACGAATGCATCCATTCTTCACAAACGATGCACGGATTTAACGTTTCTTTTTTTATATATATTTGATGGGCCGACGTTTGACCACTATGTCGCCTGGTGGTGCACGATGATGCGGTCTACGATGGAGCACGTCGCCCCATAAGTAACCTATTCACTCGGGCCTTGAAGACACCCAGGTCAGGAAATACAGATACTGGCAAAGAATTCCACTCTTTAGCAGTTGCCGCTTCGTGGACAATGTTCATTGCATCTAAGCAAGATGCAAGCATTTGTCATTTGTACCCCGCCTTGTTTATGAAGGATGCATGCATTCGTCTAATGACGCAACGTGGACAGTTACCCTTACGTAAGAATTGATATTGCTGCAATATAGATTCGATTAAAACAGTCCCAATAACCTATTCCGGCCGACATTAAAACATATTTTAGATTTACTAATTTCTTTTTATACCACGACGGTGGCAAAAAAGCACACGCTGACACGCCACACCTGAAGGTAAGCGGTTACTGTGGCCTATGTACGCCCGCAACACTTGGGGCATTATATGCGTCTTGCTGACCCTTTAGAACTCGTGGTGTCCGGCAGATGGCGCGGTGGGCTCGCAGCGCAAGTAACAACACCGATGGGAGCGCCAACGCCAGCCAGAAGGCTGTAAACATCACCGCGACCGCGCACGCTGCTCATGAGCAAGAACCCCTCTGTGGTTCGAAACTAGTAGAGCTTTTCTCAGTATATTCACGTGAGTAACCCGCGATTTTTAGTTAATTTAACATCTAGTTTTGTACAAGGCTTATGTAAAAATTCCCTTTTCTGCTGTCTAGTGAAAATTCCATCTCTTTTAGACAAATATACCGATTGTTAGGTTACTGAGACTGACTTTATCTTGTAAAAATGTTAATTAATATTCGTTATTTCGTAACAAACGTTATAATTAATTAAAATAAGGTACTTTTTTATTTGTGGACCATTTCAATTCCCTTTGGAGACCCGGTGCATTGTAAAACTAAATCTAGATTCAATTTTATGCGTAGACATGAAAAGATCTAAGATCTGATGATATTTTTCTCGTAACAATGTTGTTATTATATATTTTATTAGTTTTCTTGCATCTACCTCTAAATCTCTCAACCAAGAGTAAGTCTAAGGTCATTTTACTTTAGAAAATTATATTCCCTTTATTCTGTTCCAAGGTACCCCATTCAATTTCTTTTTTTATATAAATCAATGTATAATAACATTTTCTAATTGTATTAAGGTCGAAATCACTAACCAATTTTAAATGTGGGAGAGCCATGCTTCGGCACGAATGGGCCGGCTCGACCGGATTGATACCACGGCCGAGCAGAAAACAGACGTGAAACAACGCTTGCGTTGTGTTTCGTCGTGTGAGTGAGGTTACCGGAGGCCCAATTACCCCCTTCTCCTGTCTCCCCAATCCCAGAATCCCCCACAATCCTCAAATTCCTAATCCCCAAAAGGCCGGTAACGCACTTGTAACGCCTCTGATGTTTCGGGTGTCCATAGGCGACGCCGATTGCTTACCATCAGGTGATCCGTCTGCTAGTTTACCGGCTTATGTCATAAAAAAAATTTCGAATCAAAATCTTTGAATTTTTGACAAAGAACTAATTTTTTTATGGACAAGGTGGTAAACGAACTGACGGATCACTTGATGGTAAGCGATTAGCGAAGTTACATGGACACCGGCAACATCAAAGGGGTCACAGGTGCGTTGTCGACCATTAAGATTTTTTTGAATTTTTGTCAAAAACTTAGATCGATTCAGCTGCTGTAGCCAAATGCCATTTAGCGCTTGTCTACATGTAGAATAGAAAACCAAATTATATGGAATTGGCGTAAATTTTGACACTTGTCAGTGTCATCCCCATACATTTTGATTTCTACTCTCTCTGTAGACTAGCGCTAAAGTGGCGCTTGGCAAGAGGCTCAGAAAGGATTAAGACTTGTGATTAATTTCGACTTAAACAATATAGATTTTAATTTTTGCTTAAACTAAGTGGCGCTAGTGATGTTTGAGACACAGCTATTAATAGTTACGTCACGTACCTTCCTCTCATTCCTAAAATCGACAAAAACACATCCTCATAGAAAAATCTTCATTTAAAATAACTATCGTGAAACATACTAAATTAACTAAAAATGGCGGGTTACTCACGCGCCGCGATCGCGCACACTGCTCATGCGGAAGAGTCCCTCTGTTGCTCGAAACTAGTAGAGCTTTTCTCAGTATTTTCATGTGAGTAACCCGCGATATCTAGTTATAATCTTAATTTAAACGCCCAAAAACGACACCAGCGCCACCTACATAGCAAAAATTTACAATTTCATCTCACCAAATGTTCTTAAGATCACACGGGTGTCTCGAGGCTGCCTTCGACGGGGGGCGGGGGCTCCACAGTCAGGGGCGTAGCCTCGTCAGGGTGGTCCGGGGCCGCGTATCATATTTGTGAGGCTGGCATCGTTGACACAGTGCTGTGTGGAGTCGTGGGGCGAGAGCCAGCTAGAGACGCGTTAAGGGAGGCCATTGTACCCATCTGTGAATAGGATGGGTGGGAATTAACAATAGGTTTCTTTCTATTTAGGGTATAATTGATAATATTAGTAAAAGATAGTTCAGAACGAGATAATTCTTTTATAAAGTACGTTTAAAAAACCGACTTCAGCCACTTTTTTTAACTCGGTTAAATAATATACAGACAGACTGATAGACTATAAAGTATAATCAGTGGATAATGTATCAGAGAGATTGTAAAACATATATTTTTGTTTTTTTAATATGTCAGGATAGAATGGAAAAAATACACTGTTACACCTTTTGTACTGTATTTTAGAAAATAAACATTTTTGATTTGATTTGATTAAAAGAGTAACGAATGGAGTTTGTTCGTTCTACTCCATTCGAATCTACGTTTTGGAACGATCACCTAGCTTCACCTAGCTTCACTAACGGACAGACTATAATTTATTTTGTATTTGTTGACGTTTCCAAAAGTACCAAATTATGGTTTAATTAAAATGAATACTTTGACTTTACACCGATAGTTCGATTTGAAAAACATTTTTGCGTCGAATAGTTCGTTTAGAGCCGAGCCGAGCGAGTAAAACAGCGCGGGAGTATTTAATAAAAAATAAATTAAAACTCACTGCCTAAAATAAATTTTATTTTAGGAAATTTTTAAAATAAAACTGACGGCCTCGATGGCCGTCAGTTTTGAGTGGTCATGCGACTGCCGAGCTCGGGTTCGATTCCTGGGTAGGGCAAAGTATTACGGGGTTTTCTAAAAAAAATTTCAGTAGTAGCACGGAGCCTGGTAATGTGCCCGGTATATGGCTCACACCCTATTACATGGGACTAATAGCATAAATAGTGAAAAGTGGGTGTTACTTCTGTGTGCAACTCTGCCTACCCCTTCGGGGACAAAAGGCGCGATGTTATGTTATGACATGTAAACTAAAACTCACCCTTAAATGTGCCAAATCTTCCAATTTAGTTAGATCAGCGAGCTCCAAGTACAGACTGTAGACTAACACCCATCCATACATGCCAACCACACAGAATACGATCCAGCACAAACACATGATCACATTGTAGGCGAATATCATGTCGTTCACTATGGACGCAAATATAAACGCAATCAGACGAAACACTATGAACACTCCGAATGTGAACAGCCAGGGTACTATACGCTTCTCATATTCCTGTAAAAAAAGAAAGATTATATTAGAATATAGAAAGGATGAATGAAAGTAGAGTAACGAAAGAAGTATACAGAGTGCCAAGCACGAATAACTATCGCATTCGTAACGTAATAGTATCGAGTGCGTTCGGCGCTCTGATTGGCCGGCTCAAGTGAACCAACCAATCAGAACGCTTAACTCGCTCGATACTGTTACGATACGAATGCGATAGTTATTCGTGCTTGGCCCTCAGAGCGGATACGAATGGGGACGTCGGTAGAGGGCGCCCTAGACGGACATACAGTGACCAGATTGGCGATATATTAAAGAAGGGCCAAATTAAAAGTACCCTTAACCGACGAGCATGCATGAAAAGATTGATGACTGCTGATGAAGCGAAAGAGGTATGTAGGAATCGAAGTAATTGGCGTTCCCTAGTCTCTGCCTACTCCCATGGGAGACAGGTGTGAAGAATTTTTTTATGGAATAGGAGGCAAACGAGTAGACGGATCACCTGATGGTAAGCAATCGGCGCCGCCCATGGACACTCGAAACACCAAAGTGTTACAAGTTCGTTATCGGCCTTTTGGGTATTGGGAATTTGAGAATTATGGAGGATTCGGGGATTCGAGAGACGGGGACTAGGGAGGGGGTAATTGGGCCTCCGGTAACCTCACTCACACGACGAAACACAACGCAAGCGTTGTTTCACGTCGGTTTTCTGTGAGGCCGTGGTATCACTTCGGTCGAGCCGGCCCATTCGTGCCGAAGCATGGCTCTCCCACATTTAAAGTGGTAGTTAATCTTCGAAGTTTCGGACGAAATTTCTTTTTTCGTCGAATCAGAGTGGACCTACAGAGGAGTCAAAGGTGCGTTGCCGGCCTTTTAAAAAGGAATATGGTCTTTTCTTGAAGGTTTGAAGGTCGTATCGGTTCGGAAATACCGCCCACGACAGATCATTCCATAGTTTTGCTGTGCGAGGCAGAAAGCTACGAGAGAAGCGCACAGTTGTGGCCTGCCAACCATCTATATGGTGGGGATGCATATGCTGCCGTGTGGGTCGATGGTTGTTGTCGAAACTGATTATTTGTCAGTTTTTAAAGAGAGTGGTTAGAAGATCAATGACCAATTTTTATTATCCGTCTGGTAGATTATTTCAAAACATTAGTCACGTATTTTTTCTTTTCTTACAGAAACTGTTGTAATAAGGTAAATATTACAATCTAAAGGGAAGTTGAGTCGCGGAGAACCTAACGGGTAACCGGGGCTCCGGCTCGACGTGCAGGAGAAGGAACGGGGTGGTTTTTAGTCAGTAAGAGTCTGACACTCCCTTCCGCCTCACCCAGGCGGAAGCAGACATTTGATGATTTTCCTCCCTCAAAAAAAAGACAAGGGAAGTTACAAGTAGCGCCATCTAGTCGTTCCATTGGAAGATAACCGCGCAGAATACGAATCATCGCGTATCGTCAACGACATGCTTTGTTAAGTTTATAGAATAAATACATATAAAAAGTGTATTTAAATGAAAACCCAACGACTTTAACAACAACCCAACCACAGAAACAAATACTTTCGACGATACATTGATTTGAAATATCGCATGACGTCACTTCTATTGTACGTTTTATACGTAGAAATGACACTCCTAAACTTCAATTCGTTCTATCTATACTCGGAATTTTAATTCGATTCCAGATTTGACAATTTCAGTGTTGCAACGTTATGACAAGTACTAAATAGTGACGTTGCGAAATTATTCGATATGGAAATGCAATATTTCTGGATCGATTCTTCTCGTTTATAATTTTACTCT